AAAGGGAGTTTTTCCTCTCCACTGTCGCTACAAGCATGCTTAGTGTGAGGGATTGCTGAAGAGTCAATGAGTTGATGCAATCAACTGGTTTTAATTAAATAGAAAACTTTGAATCAAACTGTAAAGTGCCCTGAAATAAAAGGCGCTATAGAAATAAACTGAATTGATTTGAATTTAAAAGTGATGCATAGTTTCACCGCTCTGTACTCTGACACCCCTAAATAGAATCCCATGCATCCAGTTTTCTTCAGATGTCACACTTTCACTGTTAATCAAACTTCTGCCCTTTGGATAAAAGGCTGTGAGCCTAAGAAGACGACAAGTACCAGATTGAACTGGAAGAACAAGAAGGTCACGGTAACTGAGGACAAGATGCAAAGATCCACAACTCTGAGGGGGAAATATTTTGACAGCTTAACTCTTTAGGACGTCATTAAGGAAGAACGACTTAAGGAAGCTACTGTTAAAAGTAGGTGGCATGTCAAACACAACAGACGGGACTCTGGTGAGATAAGAAAACATGTGATGTTAACAGAGTGAAGGGAAGCTTTAAGGAAGGCAACACTAAAAAGAATAACCTGTGGAAGGCTGAAAGTCTCCAACGTCCCAAAATGAAACCGAAGCTGTGATCGAATGGCGTATATTGGAGATTATTCTCATATTAGAATAGTCTATTTAAAGTCTACACTGTAAAACAAAACATTTAGCTTTATCAAAGAATTCAAATGAGCAGAACTTCCCTTAAATAAATGCTGTGAGCTGAAACATGATTGATCAATCCAAATATTTAAGTTGATTTCATGCAACTAAAGTGTTTCAGACAGATCTGTGTGACCTCATCGGCTGGATGACATCACTGCTACAATAAAAGGTATTTATTCAAGGATCCACATGCTTAATGTTCTGATCTGCTTCTAATTAATGTTTAAGATTAACATTATTTTTCTCACAGAGTTTCTTAAACATGTAAATTTGTTCACAATTTCTTTCATGATAAAATAAAAACAAGACTCTCTAAAGCCACAATGTGATCTATAGAATATTCTGGTGTCAAAAAAGGGAAAAGCTTGATTGATTAATTGACTTTATTGATTTCAAAGTGGAGAAATTTGCTCCATTAGCTCATGAACAAGCTGTTTATTTTTTTTAGCTCTAATATTTGATGTTTTCCTTTGTTTTTCTAAGTTGCTACAACTTAAGAAAACAAAGTTATATCAATTTTATACAACAAAGTCTTCAGTGCAACGAACACATATACTGCAAGCAACAAACATAAAACTATTAGTTATAATTACTCCTAATTTTCAATGGTTTTCCAAGTACGGTGAACCTATTAGATTTTATACTTTAAACCTATTTTATTTCTGATTAAGAAGTGAAGAGACATTAATTTCTTCCCTCATTGAAAGAGCTTGTAAAGCAGAACAGCAGATATGTCAGTCTGCAGATGTGCGAAAAGTCGCTGATATAACTGCAGGTAAAGTATCGAGATCGTATAAAAAAAGAACGCCACTTTTCCAGTTTTAAGAACATTTCCCTTTTCCACCACTACGCCCCACTTTGCATCTAAATCCTAGCAAAACAAAGAGAGTTTTCTGGTGGTAAGTTGATAAAACGTGAGGAAGGGGTGTTTATTTGCAAAGCATTGTCTGAACATTTCCAATAACTGCTCCCCAGATTGCTTTCAGACCTTATTTATCGATGTTATGGACTTGGAGATTACCGAATGTGATTGAAGAAAAGAGCAGCACTGGTGGAAAGAAAAAAAAAAAAGAACATGATGTTTATACAATCTAAATCTCCTCTCCTTAACAGATATGCAGCTTGTCAGACATGTTGTAATTCTGCAAAGCGGTATAATCCACTTTAGACTAGGCTGACTCCCCCCCCCACAGCCCTGTCTTTGCTCTTTGCTTGACTCCCTGTTCTGTTGATCCTCCCCAACAAGCTGGAGTGATATTTAGCCCCCTGATACGCCCGCAGAGATCAACGCTCGCCAAGCTGCAATCTGTGGCCGTAATCACGGCCCCGAGATGCCCGCCTTTCACAGCCGCTGATATTCTGTGCGCTGTGCGTGTTTTTTTTTTTACGTGTGTGTGTGCGTGGATTAACCAGATGGTGGAACGTGAATCCGTGTGATAGGATTATACTTTGGGGTGTTCCTCTGTGCCATCTGTTCGACTCTACGGGCTGCTCATCTATTACTGCTTCAAATGGGCCCCAAAGTCACGTATCCGCCACACATATGCGGCACTAGGATCACGCTTTTTTTGTATCGTTTCTGATACTCTTCTTCTCCTTACTCTCTATAATGTACAAATCATCTCTCCCTCCTCCCTGTTCTGGGCTCCCACTCATTTTCTCTTCCTTCAGACCCGTTCAAAACGTCTGGATGAGGACAGGGGTGGATTTAGGAAAGTTGGGGCCCTGGGCAAAGACAGGCCT